CGTGAGCGCTGATTAAAGAGGGTGATGATGCTGATCGTGGTTCTGGTATCAAAGGCTTTATCATCCTCCTCTGCCAGTTCCCAGAGAGAGGAGTGAAATATTTATCCCTCCATCTCTCATTTTCATATGATTTGTTTAAATACATATGTTCAAGTATGAACTGATTAACACGTTCGTCACATACACACAGGGGTTAAACTGGAGCGGAGCGCCAGCATCTTTGGGTCGTGTAAACAGCAAACAGAGCTGCATTCCAGCACTAATTTAAGGCTCGGCCGATATATCGATTGGTCAGTAATATCAAACAATATTATCAACCCATGATATTATGGGTATCGGATGATTATTCCAGAGATAACACACAGATAATTAGCTTCTTTGGCTGCGCTCACACAGCAGGTAAAAGTAGTAATAATAATAATAATTATAATAATAATAATCTTTTTTATTTATATAGCAATTTTTCACGCCGATGCTCAAAAAGTGCTTGCGGACAGGTGATAAAGTTAAACAGTAATACAAGAAATTATACATATTAATTTAGAATCGTGTAAGAAAATGACAGATCAAATTAAACACCATGAGACGTAGAGTTTTAATTAAATGCTGAGTTAAAAAGATGTGTTTTTAGATGCTTCTCAAAAGTGAGCGCTGAGTTTGACTGTTTAATAAAAGGTGGAATTTAATTCCGCAGTGTAGAAGCAGAATAACCGAGAGTCTCTCCATGTTTTCTGTATTTTACAGAGGGTATTTGTAGAAGGCCACTATCTGCAGATCTTAGGTTACGTGCTGGAACATAAACAGATACTCTCTGTGATGTAAGTGGTGCTTTAAGGTCATTTAGAGCCTTAAAAACTAGTAGCAGGACTTTAAAATCTATGCTGAATGATACGGGTAGCCAGTGCAGTTCTCCTGGTTAGTCTGTCTACAGAGTCTTAAACTTCAGAAGGAATAGAAATGTATAACTGGGTGTCCTCAGCACAGCTATGAACACTTATATTGTTTCCTAATAACATCACCTAGAGGTAGCATGTACAAAGAGGAAAAACAAAGGCCCTAAAACTGAACCTTGAGGGACTCCACAAGAAATGCCAAATATTTTTGATGGATGATTTCCACTTGAAACCATGAACTGTCCATTACCTAAACATGATTTAAACCATTCTAAAACTGTGCCCGAGAGGCCGACCCAGCATTCAAGACGCTGGATTAAAATCTGGTGGTCGACGGTACCAAAAGCTGCACTTAGATCTAATTAAACCAGAATAGAAGGATTCTGTGCGTGAGCACTTGGCCTGAGGTCATTCGTAACATGAACCAAAAGTGGCCCAAATGCAACCTGTATGCGACATCAGTCTGAACAGATCAGCTCCTAAACTGACCCGCATGCGCAAAAGTACAACGCGTCATGTTGCTTCACGTGGCTCATCCAAAGGTAAACAATCACGACTGCCAATGAACGCCAGTCGCCCCTGGAGGTTTCAGCTTCATCTTCACCAGCATCACAGGAAGCCAGCATAAAGCTTCACTTACTGACAGCTGGGCTCATCACCCAGAATACGTAAAAAGGGCGCGGTCACTTCTTTAGGTTTGCATTCTCTGATTTATTAAACTTTGCTGTCAGACGTTTAACTGTTCTTTGACGCTGCAGCCTTGTTCTCCTACAGCCGCGTTTGGCAATGTCTTTCGAAATCTCTTTGAACACGGAGGGGTTTAGATTAGTCTCTTCAAATTTTTGTACAGAAACAGCAGCCTAAATGTTTATGAGGTCTCAGCAGTGCAAAATTATGATGAATGTCGAGTTGGATTGACGTAAAAGTCGTATGAATTCTGATCAGACTGAGCCACATTGCCACAAATCGTGTATCAGATTTCACTACCACATATGAAAGCGTCTCAAATTGGAATTGAAAATGTCAGACACATATGAACAAAAACAAAAGATCGGATTTGGGCCACTACTACTACAGACTACTACCACTACCTCCACTACTACTACTACAACTACTACTACTACCTCTACTACTACTACTACAACTACTATTACTACTACTACTACCTCTACTACTACTACAACCTCTACTACTACTACTATACTACTGCTACTACAACTACTATTACTACTACTACTACTACTACTAACTCTACTAATAATACAACTACTATTACTGCTACTACTAAGTCTACTACTACTACAACTACTACAGCTACTATTACTACTACTACTAACTCTACTACAACTGCAACTACTATTACTACTACTACTACTAACTCTACTACTACAACTACTACAACTACTATTACTACTACTACTAACTCTACTACTACAACTACTACAACTACTATTACTACTACTACTAACTCTACTACAACTGCAACTACTGTTACTACTACTACTACTAACTCTACTACTACAACTACTACAACTACTATTACTACTACTACTAACTCTACTACTACAACTACTACAACTACTATTACTACTACTACTAACTCTACT